GTTGCACATGTTGAAATCGTGTGTTCTTATGTGACTTGATATTTTTCTGCGCTCTACGGCAATTGGAATCGTCAACAACAAGAAAACAACAACAATAATAAGTAAAGCAATAAAGACTTGTTTTTTTTTCAAGGACAAATTGATAAATTTCGACAATTTTTTTTTAATCTTTTTTCTAATTTAGTTATTCGTATAAATAAAGTGCAATAGCAGTGGTAAATATAATTGAATATGTTTAAAATAAATGAAAATAAATGAATTTATTTAGAAAGAGACACCACAATTAAGTTTCATTGAAAATTTTGCACTAAGTAGTTTTGCTGCAGTTGTTTCACAAACAGCTGTTGCTCCAATTGAACGTGTTAAATTACTCGTACAAAATCAAGGTGAAATGTTAAAACAAGGTACTCTAGCACGACCATATACTGGTGTTATTGATTGTACTGTGCAAACATTTAAAAATGAAGGTTTACTTGCATTTTGGCGGGGATATTTAGCTAATTGTATTCGATATTTTCCAACACAAGTTTGTTTAATCAATAAAGTATAGAAAAAAATTTCATATTATTATTATTTTTGTTTAAATAGACATTAAATTTTGCATTCAAAGGTAAAATAAAAGCAATGTTTGAACAAAATAAAAATGATCCATATTTGGTTAATTTTGGTAAAAATGTGGCAAGTGGTTGTGTAGCCGGTGCATTATCATTATGTTTTGTTTATTCACTTGATTATGCTCGTACACGTTTAGCTAATGATGTTATAAGTACGGAAAATGGTGGTGGAGAACGTAAATATAATGGTCTTATTGATGTTTATAGAAAAACATTAGCAACTGATGGTTTTGTTGGTCTTTATCGTGGTTTTGTTATATCGTGTGTTGGAATAATTATCTATCGGGGTTGTTATTTTGGTTTTTATGATACATTAAAACCACTTTTACTTGGTCCAGACGCTGGTATTATGTTATCATTTTTACTTGGTTATGGTGTTACAGTTATATCTGGTCTTATATCATATCCAGTTGATACAATTCGACGACGTATGATGATGACATCGGGTCAAGCTGTTAAATATAATGGTTCATTAGATTGTATGTTTCAAATAATACGACAAGAAGGTGTTATAGCTTTATTTAAAGGAGCTGGTGTCAATATTCTTCGAGGTATTGCCGGTGCTGGTGTTTTAGTTGGTTTTGATAAACTTATACAAGTTTATACCGGTGTTAAAGCTCATACCAGTGGTAGTGGTTAATTATTATATCAATTTGATAATTAACTTTAATAGAAATTTTTCTTTTTTCTCTCTCCACTCATATCCTTATTATATTATGAAATTCCTCGAATCCTTTCTGTTATTGGTCTAGTTTAATCTTATATTAAATGTTTTTTTTGACGAGTCTATCCAATTGTAGTAGCAGTAACGTGTATCTACCGATTTGTGTCTTCGATTATTGTAACAACACAATAAGATATCGAAATAACACAAAAATATTATTAAAAACCCAGCGATGATCAAAAAAAAAGAATTTATTTATATTCTCAGTTATTCATATTAAATTAATCTCATTTTATAGATTAACATTAGAATTAGTTTAGAGATTCCTATTTCTTTCAATTATATCAATATAGAATGAGCAAAATCTCAACGACTGATTAATCGATATTCACTTAGAATTATCTGCATTATGGAGATTTTAATCAACTTTAAATATTCTAGAAAGAGTTCGGACCTTAGCTTTTTGTTACGTAGATATTGCATATTGATGAGAATTTTTAAATAAATGTCGTCGTCTACCTCAGAAATATAATCAAAATGTATAGTCGAAATCTGACTATAAACTTAGAATAGAGATGGATCTTAACAAGAAGAATTTATTTATTAAAGTTTAACATCTTTTGGTGTATTTCTATCCTGAAATGAGAACGTAGAATCTGTCTGTGTATATCATCGTTGTAAAATAAACGTATTTACTATAGGCTTAGGATAAGAACAACGAAAATATTTGAGACCTTGGCAAATAAACTAATCTTGTTAATGTCTATCTCTATCCAATATTTATGAGAGAAAATATCGAATACACCAATAAATGAAGGGTTCCAAGTTTTTTCAGTGTATTGATTGTTGATTATGATCTGCACTAGAGGTTCAACCAGGCCACGTTTTGAAGGCCTGTCAACTTTTTCAAGAGAATAAATTAATGATGACAGACTGGAAATCAGAAGTCCAAAGAGAGCACTAAAGCTACTAAAGGGTGATCAGAAAGTTTCGACCCCTCTCAGTAAATCGATGATATCTACAACAAACTTCTATGAAGTTATTGATCAAATTATGTCATTTTGTAGAGAAAGATTAGAGCTATATTCTGAAAAAAAGATAGTTCGAAATACATAAATCC